ACACATGCTGTGTGGTATCGGCGTTTGGTATCGGGGCATTTTAACGAATACGAGTACAGGAGCACAGTATCGGGCCCGATACCAGTATCGGTATCAGTGCATCCCTATTAAAAATTAACCAGGCTATTCCAAGCTCTATCATTGCAGTCAGCGGGTGTTGCAGTTGAACAGTCCACAAATTGTCAAATAAAGCGCGTGGGGGGTGAATAAAGGTCTTCTGTAGTGAATCCATGCGTTTTTGTAAGAAAAATATCCATATTTCAAACGTAATAAACACTTTTCTCTCACTTCCGTTATCTGTCAAGATAATCTGTCCGTTATCTTAAATGATACTATTTGTTCTTCAGGGCATATTCGAGTTTAGAGATTGTCTAGCGATGTGTGAAAATTTGCGACGTTTGAAAGCCAGGTGCTGCTCACCCATTTAAACTACAGATTGTCATCAAATTTCATCCTCATTTGCTAGTCTTACACACATGATGTTTCTGTAACCCACCTGCAAAGTGTTGTGATGTCATATCTTGAAATTCCTATTTACAGTTCCTTTAAGTGCTTATAGGGAAAAAAGAAAAATGATAGCTTGGACTTTTTGGAGTTTTTGTCTCCATTAAACTATCAGTTCACCAAGAAATAGAAATATTTTCATTTACTCGCTTTCATTTGGTTTCAACCCTGTATTATTTTCCTCCTTTTTTCTTGAGAATACACAGACATTATATATTTGAGAGCTACAGTGAAGCTTGAGAGCTGCGGCTATCATATTGCTTCAGAAGACATGGTATATAGACTAATGACCAGATTTTCCCTAGAGAAGTAGAATTATTTGCACACATGCCTTTCATATGAACATACGGTGCAGCTATTTTGCAATCTTTGGGTGATTCTACAAAATAGGTGCTATTTGTTATTTATATATATATATACATATATATATATATGGGGCTGAGAGCCACTTGTTTTTGCTTGCTACAGTAGCAAATGCATAATTACATATATACAATGCATATTTGTATAAATATGTGTAAATAAAACCTTTAAACTTTCAATTCATTCTTTCAGTTTTACTTCACATAATGCATTTTTAAAAACACTCAAAGTTGTATCCTTAGGTTGTGCATCTACTGTACCTAATAATAATAATAATTTATAAAAACTTTGTGATAGAGACATCATAATTCTTCATCCAAAAAGTGGAAATTTCACTATGAAAATCATCTTATTAAACAGGAAAATGTCCCTATTTCATAGTGCATGTTAAGTGTTTTATTCATGTAAATATGATTGTCCAGCAAGTTGTAAAAAGCTCTGCTTAAAGTTGTCGACACATTTAAAAAATATTTACAGACTTTGGCAACTTTATTTGCCCGCTAGGCTTCAGTGGGCTTAGTTGCATCTGAAATGGCTGGAAGCCGAGAGTTGAAGAAGGATAGAACAGCTTTAATGTGTGTCTCTATGTTTCAGTATCTCAGTAATGAGTCCTTTCTTCACTATGTTAAATTATCACAGCTAAATAGCTCTCGTTCACTTTAGATATGATGTGATTATGGAGATGGTGATTACATCATGTTAGACATTAGTGTGCGTCTCTTCATGGATTGGCTTGAAGGAACATTCTCTATAGCTGTCACAGCATGATGTCTTCAGGCAACCAAACATGTTAATGTGAGGAGAATCAGCTGGGCCACACATGGGTCAAGAGTTCTGTCCTATCAGAGGCTACCGAGCAGGATATTCAGACATTCATCAGATATTCATTGATACTCCATATGCTTAAGAGTTTATTAGGTGGGGTTTCATTTAAAATGGCTGTTTTAGATGCAAAAACTGTGAGTTTGACATGTCCCTGTCAGTCCCTGTTAATATTTTATTTTAGTTAGTTTAGTTGGTAACTTTGAAGCTTATATGTGTAATGCATTATACAAGCATTTTAAATGCATTAATTATGCCTTGTAATGCACATTATAATGCATTGTATGATCTCATGAATAACTGCAACAACATTTATAATACATTATAACACATTTCTTTTGTTATTTCTATTGTTACACCTTTAAAATATTATATTTCATTAAAACACAGGACAAACAACTAGTTTCAGATGTAACAAGGAATCGGCAAATATTATAATGCATTTTAACTTTTGGTCACACTTTATTTTAAGGTCCAATTCTCTCTGTTAACTAACTTTTAACTACAACTTTTGCCTCAATATACTTATTATTTGCTGCTTATTAATAGTTAGTAAGGTAGTCGTTACGTTTAGGTATGGGGTAGGATGAAGGGCATTAATATGTGCTTTATGAGTACTAATAAACAGCCAATATGCTAGTAATATGCATGCTAATAAGCAACTTGTTAATAGTGAGAATTGGTCCATAAACTAAAGTGTTACCTAACTTTTTATTTTTTACAATTATTTATGAACAGATATACTGCATTATAATGCACATTATAACTACCTTTATAATGTATTATACATAAAGGCTATACATTTACTTAATTACAATTCAAGAAACAGGTAATGCATTCTGGAAAGTATTCTTCCACCCTGGTTTGCAAAGGATCATTTATTTGATGAAATGTATAAACTAAATACAAATATATCTTTCTATCATTATGCGTTTCTTTAGACCTATAAAACCTTTAAACTTCAAAGACTTTTTAAACTTTTTTTTTTTTAAATATCAATCAAGACTTTGTCAAGCATTCAAAATTTGTCTTGCTTTTCCAGTTAAAAATTAGTCATATGGATTTCTTTGAATTAAATTTTTTGTAATTCTACTTCCTTGCATTCTAATATATTCTAATCGCAATTCTGCATCCTGTTTACTACCTCACTTCAAACTCAGCTCCGATTTAGCAACTTAAGCATTCTCAATTCAGTTCAGAATTAGGAACAACCTTGCAGTGAATAAAAGTTTTGTGCACTCAATTTAGTGAATTCAAATAGAGAATAATTGCAATAGCTTCGTCCATTAAAGCTGTTTGCATAAAGATACTCCACAAACTTGGCTCAACTGCGATTCATTCAAATCACACCTCAGCTTTTGGAGCAAGAGAAGGTGGCACTGATTGGCCAGCATTACTGGCCTCTGGTGACAGCTATCAGAATGGTGCTACCTCATCTAGCTTTCATTAGCAAGTGAAAGACAAGCTCTGTGCCTGTGGTTATCGTGTTTCTCATGTCTCAGCTCTCTACTGCACGCCTCTGTGCTTCTGACCTCATGATACCCTTCCTCTCTCTGTCACACGGCTGTGAGTTGTCGCCTGTTGCGTGATCAGCTGTGCGGATCTGCTGTCCTGCTGCGTCTGTGCCTTCTCCTCTCCCTCTGGAGTCTCTTTCATCCCTCCAACACGCTCCAATACATAATATGATCTTGCACACAGCTCTGTCCTCAACTGTACACCATGTTCACCCTATTGATATTTGAGCCTTGTTATGCTGGTAGTGTATTTGTTGATATTACACACTGTGTGTGATTATGTGGAAGGGTTTTTGATGAATAAAATATTTGAGAAAGGACCTAAGAGTTGCACATACAAGGTTTGGACAAAGTTCACCCAAAAATGAAAATGCTAGCATTTACTCACCCTCAAGTTGTTCCAAAATGGCATTGATGATCAGTTTCTTTCTTCCGCTGAACACAAAAGAAGATATTTTGAAGAATTTGTGGTGTCGTCTGCTGCTCATCTTAGGAACCACACTCAGTCTTGGGTTTTGATGCCAGGAGATACACTTTATTACATCATCAATGAGAATAAAGCGGAGATGCTCTCTGCAGCGAAACATCTCCAGAATGATCATCTTGTCTTCTTTTTATACAGTTCTGACTTTAAGGCATGGGGTATATATTCCATACAGTTTTCCATACATAGAATGGTTCCGTTGTGCATACAATTCTCCCTAGAGAGAAGGCCCCCCCACTCTCTAGTCTTGTTATGGTGAAGAAAGAAAGCCCCCATTTATGTTTTTCCAGATGTTTCTAATCTTAGGGCCTGTCTACTTTAGCCACATAGGCATTTTCCACACAGGCATATGTGATTATAATGGAAGTATAACTGGATATTTAAATGGTTATATTCCTAATGATTACACTCGAACAATTCATATTTTAACCAATAAAAATCTACTACAAATGCTGGTAACCAAACAGTTGCTGATCGCTATTGAGTTCCATAGTAATGGAAGTCAGTGGCTACCAGCAACTGTTTGGTAACCAGTATTCTTCAAAATATTTATTGTGCTGAACACAAAGATATTTTGAAGAATTTTAGTAACTGAACAGTTGCTGGTTGCCATTGACTTCCCTAGTATTTTTTCTCTCTCCATACTATGGAAGTCAATGGCTACCATTGACTCTTTGGTTACCAACATTCTTCAGAATATTCAAGTTAATGATAGGAACGGTCAAAAACTAAGAGGGACTGTGTCCAAACAACACAGAACTACTGCTGCAAAAATGACAGCAACCTTAATATTCACCTTGAAGACCCTGTTTCAACAAAAACCAACCAGAGAGAACTTCAAGCATTCAAAAGCTGTAATTGCTAAAACTTGAATCACAGACACCAATGCTAAAATTAAAAAAAGATGGCGGCATGATATAAAACCTGGACAGTTGGAGCACCAAGATAAACTTCAGCATCTGCCCTAGCCAGACAAATCACCTGACCTGAATAATATCAAACCACTGGAGGCAGTTTTGGAGAGAAGAGTGAGAAGCTGATTCCCTCCTTTAGCATTTCTAAAGCAACTGGTAGATGTTTTTATAGACAACATTCGACTGGAGACTATTAAAAAGTTTTATGAATCTTTTCTAAGGTTGGAAGTTGTTTTAAGGGCAAAAATGGTGGTAAAACAACTTAATAAAGAAATATTGCCCATTTTGCAAGGTGTATACATTATTTTGCCCAACCCCTGCATTTAGGTTTTTTTTTTTTTAGACAAACAAATTTCCAATGTGTTTTATTTATTAATAAATGTATTTATCTGATCACAGTGACAAACGATTCTCTGCTTTGGGCTTCGGGGCAAGAATTCCACCTAATTATGAGGTAAAAGACCATATATATATATATATATATGTGTGTGTGTGTGTATGTTCATGCTATATATATATATATACTGTATGCATATTCATGTGTGGTCCTGTAAAAGAAATGTGCTTAAAAGTCTCAAAAGAAAAATGACATTAAAGTATATTTTAGTGCCTACATGCTTGTTAGTACATTCAACAGTACAGACTAAAGTCCACATGAGAAGAATGGACAGATACAGAGTGAATACAACCCCTTGTGAAAAAGAAGTATAATTTAGCATATGTTTAAAAAGAGTAAGTATTGCAGAAATAATACACTTTAAAAGAATATATGTTTGTATAAGTGCAAACTGAATATATTGTTTCCAGAGACTTAATTCCATGTTAACTGCGATTAAATAATAGTGTATTATAGTCTAAATTATATTAAGCGCTTTTGACCCACTTGAGTAGGACTTAAGTACATCAATATATGTAATTTCATAATTAATTCTATTGTCTTTGATTAAATTTGATTGATGTGTACTGGTGAATGTACTGACAAGCATTTATGGTAAACGAAAATATACTTTAATGCCATTTGTATTGAAACGTGTGTGTCATGCATTTAAATATATTTGCAACTGCACATTTGTAATAATGAAGTTGCAATTTAGTATATTTAAAATATATTTTCAAATGTAATATTGATTGACACTACAGTTAAAGTTATAATCAAGTACTTTACAAGTGCTATAGTATGTTAGTAAACACATCGAAATAAGTTAACTTTAAAGCATGGCAAGAGATTATTAAAACAAATGATTAAAAATGCACTTTAAAGTAAAACCATCATCATTTGACATTAATTATGTACTTGTGTTATTAAAGTTTAAAGTTAAAGTTATTAAAGTTATTAAAGCCTTGTACTTCATTAATATTATATTATTTACAAATATATATATATATATTACATTTACATTACATTACATTTAGTCATTTAGCAGACACTTTTCAATTTAATTCAAGTTTATTTGTATAGCGCTTTTCACGATACAAATCGTTGCAAAGCAACTTTAGAGAAAATTAGGTTTCTACAATATATTTAGTAGTAGCTTATCAAATTAATATTTAGTAGTCGCTTTTATCCAAAGCGACTTACAAATTAGGACAATAGAAGCAATCAAAACTAACAAAAGAGCAACAATATGTAAGTGCAAATGTCAAGTTTCGGTTAGCCTAACGCAGTACACGTAGCAAGGCATTTTTTTTTTGTGTATGTGTGTACACAGTACACACACACACACACACACACAAAGAAAAACAAGTAGATAGAATAGAAAAAATAGAAAGATAGTGGGGTTTTTTTAATAAAAAAGAAGATAAATAGATAAAGTAGAATTAAAATAGAATAGAAAGTGCTGCAGTTAGAGGGTCAAATAAAGATGGAACAGATTTATATATATATATATATATATATATACAGAAGAAAGGGCTATTCTCACATAATTAAAATAATAACAGCTTGAAAAGGCTTCCCTGAGTGTTGACAGTAATCTGTCACAGGATTTAATTTTATGGCCTGTTTGTTCAGGCAGATTGCACTGCACTAGTTATGAGCTCTATTATAAATACAATAATAATAATTATATTCAGAATGTCTTTGTCAACAAAAGAAAATCAATTGCAAAAAAATGTGTGCAACAAAATGTAACAGAGGGGGCCCACAGTGGTTGTTGCTTACAGTGGAATATCTGTATAGGGAGGATGCTATTTTGTTTTAGCATCATCATCATCATCTGGTCATTTCATGCATAGTGTTGCAGAAAGTATTTTTCCTAGAAACATTCAAATAAGCCTAACCAGCACTGCATGATTTATTGCCTTCATTTAAGAGCAGGATTTATGACCTTGAATTAGGTTTTTAACCAGAAAACAGGTGTGTAATGGCATGCTTAACAAGCTGAAGCCAGATAAACAAACCCTTACTGTGTGTTTTTCTTCTCCAAACTACAGGTGTCTCATGACTTTGCCATAAATTTCAACCCGGAGGATGATGAATGTGAAGGTAAGAGCGACACGCACTTTGCATGTTAGTGATCTCATGGGAGCTGAACAGAGACACTCTGCAATGTTTTTGAAGCTTTAGTCACAGTTATAGGAAAAGTTCACTCACAAATAAAAAGTCTGTCATCATTTACCCTCACTGATGTTTCAAACGTTATATGACTTTCTTTCCTCTGTGGAACACAAAAGGAGAAATGTTGAGGAATGGCCACTCTTTTCAAAAAAAGCAGTATCTTTGTGTGAGGAACAGATCAACAGCTTTCATTCAAAAAACTGGATTTAGCACTGTTATGAATAATTACAAAATCTTAGACTATTTTTCACACATATCATATTATACATATTATACATATTATATATACATATCATATCGCTTTTGTGTTTCACGGAAGAAGCGATGTCAGTAACGCTTCTACTTGAAGCCTTTATATATAATGCATTATAAAAAAATGTATGCAGTATTTTTGTAATGCACCTTATAATTAACTGTATGGAATATCAGTTGTAATACATTATAATACTTATCTATTCATTGTTACACCTTTAGAAAGTATAATGCGTAATGCACCTGACAATCAACCAGTTTCAGATGTAACAAGAAATCTGCAAATATTATTATGCATTTAATTCTGGTTACAGTTAACCAAAATAAGTGTGAAACGATATAATGCATTGCAACATACATTATGAATACCTTTATAATGCATTATACATAAAGGCTTCAAGTAAAGTCGTATGGTTTTGGAGCGGCATGAGGGTGAGTAAATAATGACTGAATTTTAATTTCTGGGTGAACAGTTCCTTTAACACTCAAAGAGAATGTGTGAAGACTGTGGCCAATCTTGGGGTTGCTTCAGTCCTTTCTGCAGAAGACAGAGAGCTCCAAGTCAGTCTCTTGATCCCAAAATCTGTTGCTTTTGCTGCCAATACTTCAGCACTGCTCTCAGAAGCCCGTCGAGACAGAGAGAGAAATACAAATAAGCCTCCAGAACAGAAGTTTTAGCCGTGTCCCCTCTCTCTCTGATCAGAGATCCAGGGGGTTGTGGAAGCCTACCAAAACTGCCTGCCCAAGATCCAGCTCTACGGTCCCACTAATGTGGCTCCCATCATCAACAGAATAGCTAAGCAGGCGGCTGGGAAGGAACCCATCAAAGATGCTTCTGTGAGTATCTTTAAAGTTTCCGTTTATGGCACAGCACTGAAAGGGAAATTCATTACAAATAAACACAGAGGAATTATGCAATCAGGTAATGGCGGAAACACGGCCACAAAAGCGCTGCTGGTGGATATTTGCATGGGGATATTCCTCAGTGGATTCTATGTTGTGGAAGATGCAGCTGACTATCATGATCTGGCATACTTCGCTGAGACTGTACAGTGTTTCTCCAACACTGTTATTCATATACTTTAAAATTTATTTTTACATCATGTGCCTGGATATGTGCCAGGTTATAACATACCTAAACATAACTACTACAACAACTACATTACTTACGATCAATAAGCATCAAATTAGGAGTTTTTATTACTCAAAAAAAAAAATGAATGAATGAATGAATGTTTGGAATTTAAAATAAATCATTTTCATTAAAAAAAAAATCCTATCATGTTATTAAGCAGCAGTTGTTTTAATCCTCACCCTATTAAAGTCATCAAGACTTTTCACTTCAGAGTGAATATATCTACAGTACATTCAAATGTGGACAGGGCTTAAATTGGAAACTAAATTATATATAATAAAATCATATTTGTCTTTTCAATGAAAGGAATTCATTTGATGTGATTTAATGTAAAATGCATGGTGACATGAATTTAGTATCTGGACTGCAGGTGAAATGTATATATATATATTTGCAAGTGTGAGATGTAAAGTCATAAATTCTAAAAAATAAATCAAGACTACAAAAAATAAAGTAGCAATTTTGATTGTGAATTATAGCATTGTGAAATATAAAGTTGCAATTTATGTGAAATAAAGTCACAGTTATCTTTTTATTTAATTTTCTCTGGGGAGGAAACAAGCTTTCATAAACAGTAATAATCTAGAAAATACATGCACACAATAGATAATTTAATATAATACAATATAAAAAAAACATCTTTTAGTTAAGCGCAGACATGTTGACATTTAGGTGCAGGTAAATAAAAGTATAGTAATGACCATCCATCTGAAATGTATGGAAGCCCGTTTCCGCCACTGAATAAAAAATAAAAAAAGGTAATTGCGACTTTTTTTTCACAGAATTGTGAGATATAAACTCGCAATTGCAATTTGTTATTTTCTTTTTAATAAAAAAATCTTTTTTTTTTATAAACTCGCAATTGCGAGAAAAAAATATATTTTTAAATATAAAATTAGTTAAAGTCCAATTTTGAGGGGGGAAAAAAGACTGATATGTTCTCAGAATTGTGAGAAAAAAAGTCAGAATTGCGAGTTTGTATCACGCAATTCTGAGAAAAAAAGTCAGAATTGTGAGATAAAAAGTCGCAATTATCTCTTTTATTTTTTACTCAGTGGCAGAAACGGGCATTTGCAAAAAAAAAAATATATATATATATTGTAATACTTTTTATGGCCTTAAAATTTGTAAATTACATTTAACATATTGTAAAAGGAGCCATGGATGCCTTGCATAAATGGCATCAGAATTGTGAGAAAAAAAGTCAGAATTGCGAGTTTGTATCACGCAATTCTGAGAAAAAAAGTCAGAATTGTGAGATAAAAAGTCGCAATTATCTCTTTTATTTTTTACTCAGTGGCAGAAACGGGCATTTGCAAAAAAAAAAATATATATATATATATTGTAATACTTTTTATGGCCTTAAAATTTGTAAATTACATTTAACATATTGTAAAAGGAGCCATGGATGCCTTGCATAAATGGCATGGTGAATGAAGCAGGCAGTGAAGCAAATCTCATATCAATCATATACTGTATATCATTGCAATATCAATCATATTCCAGTGGTGCATTTGGGCAGAAATGGCTCTTAGAGCTTCACAGTTTCTCCATAAGAGCTGTTTGTTCCCTCCACTGATGTACACAGCCAGAAAAAAAGAGAAGTGAGGATTAAACAAGTCAAGTGTAAATACTCTCAACAGCCTGCTGTTTGGCTCTCTACCAAACAATTCAAATTACAAACTGTACTTTTTCCTCATGCCTTTGTTTGAACACAATTTACCATGAATTTGGTTGATTTCCTCTTTTTCACTGTTGTTAATGTTTCCTCCCCCCTCACGGAGGCCAATAAAAGTGTGACTTTTGCAGGCTTCACCAGCTGCACTGGCAAAGTGTGTCCTAGCGGAGGTGCCTAAACAGGTAGTGGAGTACTTCAGTCACAAGGCCATACCGCCGATGAACCCAGTGCTGAATTCAACCTCCAGCTCCATCGCCAACACACCTGAATAACACTCAACCTGAGGTCCGGGCCAGCCCTGAACACCTCCACAGTACTGAAACAGATGAGAGCTGGAACTGGAACAACATACAGTATACACTGTCATCCTGACAAAATTTTGTTCATTCATAAGCTGTTCAAACATGACTGACGGTTTGGATCATGGTCTCCGATCTTGCCCTTGACACCATTACTGCTCTCCCAGCATGCAAACCGGAGTCATTTTCGCCTCTGCTTCGTGTAAGAGCAGACAATACATTGAATTCCCATCAGGACCAGGCCTTCTGATCCCCGCTGACTCTTTTCAACCTCGCAAGGCCACTTCTGCTTTGTATGCCCTTCAGAGCTTTCGAAGACTTTGCTCTGCCTGCCTGTGGGCTCTTTTCATTTCTGGACTTCTGGAGAACTGAAACAGATATGTCAAGAAGCGTACAGTGCAGCGTAATATGAAGATTTACTCTATAGATAATAGCATGTACATTCACTAAAAGAGTTTGCTTTGGTTTTGCTGAATATGCATAGTTCATTGCTCAAATCATCATCTTGGTGTAAAGATAATGGGCGTGTGAGAATGGTCATCAACTGACTAGCCGATTAGCATGCTGACAGAGCGCTGTTTGACAGTTTGCACCATAGACATAATAAATACCTAGACGCCTCATTGGCCACTTTGAGCCGTTGCTGCGATACGTCAATGCGTCCGCCATGTTTGTGAAGGCAAGACTGCCTTAAAAATAAATGGAGGTAAACTGCTATGGTTTTTTCTGGATAAAAACACGATAACGTTTACATTTATCAACCGATTTCAGAGGTTTGTGATCTACATGGAGTTAAAAAATAACTACGCCTCCAGTTATTTAGTTAGGTTTGGAAAATTATTAATTTTCGTAAGAAATTGTGAAAACTCACAGTTGTCTCACTTGTTGATTTGATTGACTTTTTTCGGTTTACAATTCTAATGTTAATGTAGTATAACTGTGACATATTCATGTTTTGTCATTTGAATGTACATTAAATGAAATTAAGTCGTTTCTTTGCTTTCTCTGTCTTCAACCCCAACATTTGAGCTTTTCTTGTGCTTCAGGTCAGAACACAGCTCATTCCCTTTGAAATACTGGAAGAAAATCAAAATAATGCATCTTTAAGCACTAATAATTTAAAATCATTGAGAAAATTGAATAAAACCAGCGAATACAAATCAAAAAGTGACACTCTTGGTAGTCTGCTTTT